CAAAAGGAGAATTAGCCGAGTTGGTTTTCGGATTCCGAGCTGCTCAGAACTAATGTTGTAGGTACTTAGGGCTTGGGCTTACACTAATGTTTTTCACCGGTCAGTTGCTAATATCACTGGTTCTGTGGATAATAGTTAGGTAGATGTGTGTTACCATGTGCCCAGGTGGTTCGCTAATAGTAACTTTCTTTTTCTCTTAATATGCTTTGTCCGTGAGCCTCGTGGGGACTGCACGTATGTACTTTATTTTAAATTTGCTTAGGAGTCGTTTACTTCAATCGTCAAGATATTAAGATATTACCCCCGCATGTTATATATAGTTTCAGACCGCTGATTCTTGGGAAAGGGGTAATTATCATATTTCTCCGTCTGAGGTGTTTCAAGACGTAGCCCGAGGACATTGTGTATTTATTTTTATCTGCTTACCGACCTTACACTTCCAAAATTAAGAGCAACTTCCAAATTGCCTTTACTTATCGTAACCTAGAGTCAACATCACTATTTCTCTAACACAATTTGAGAAAAGCATTAGTGCAAGCGAGTCTAACATGTCCACCCACTGCGTGATACCGACATCCTCCTCGCCGACCCTTTCCCATCAAGCACCTATGTACATAGCTCGGTCGTTCAGAGCAACATATCTAGTTATTACTTGACCCTTGATCTCATCTCAATGGCAACCTCAAGTTGAGTTTAGTCTCCACCGAAATACTCAACCCTCGAATAAGGCACATTCCAACATGGATAATCCTCCACCTCTAGATAAGGCTTCCACTTGCCATCCCATTACACATTCCTTTGGAGAATATCCCTGCAAACAAGTCACACCCCATGGATAGAAAAAGGGACATGATCTAGGCCAAGCGTTCGGCGCAAAGAAAGTACTTGTCTTAAAGTATACTTGTCCGTCGCACCACGAACCACAGGACTTTCGTTTTCTGGATACTCCAGAAACAACACCCTGGTAACAGTTATGCATTTTCCACCACCCCGTCGATATAAGAGTTGCCATTCGACAGAAGGGATATGGCAATGGGATTCGGCATTCATTCCTAGTTCTTTTAAAGGAGGACTACTTTGTAAATCTACAATGTCCGCTCTTGCTTTGTGTGTGTTATTTGCGCCCTGCCATGTAGAATATGAAAGATGGCATCAGAAAAGACACCGAAAAAGACGCATTGGAAATGTGCCTAAGAACTGATCATAGAGACGATGATTGGGAATGCCTTCCATCTAGAGTACCCTAACGTGCTTTCATCTACGAGTATTACATCCAACTAATAGTGGGATTTAAAATCCTATTAAAACCAGACTGTATCAATAGATATTGAAGTCATTTTATACTAGGGCAACTCATCTTTCATCTTCCGGCAAAAAAAACGCACTATCGTGATAGTTCCAAAACCCCATTGTACCCTTTACACATACTCACCCGCTTACAATATTGTAGTAAAGACGAGTAATATCAGTATTATTCTCCCGCGCATTAGCAATACTATCAGATTACCCTGCTTCAAGTCTTCAGGTTATGAACTACGTCAGTACGCCAGTTCAATGGATAGAGTAATAGTATACTCGCTAAAAAGTGACTAGAAATTAATAGCCTGCTGAGATACTATAACATGATATGTCAAGCAGCTTATACTGAATTAAAACTGTGCCAGGCACGGGACCGAGAAATCAAACGACGCCATCGTATCCAAGTCTACATATATTCCATGACAAGAGGTCCAGGAAGAGGGACGCGCCTACTAGACTTGCTTCTTTTGGCGTTACCTATAGGTAGAGACACAGAAATTTGGAACGAAAACCAATTTCTATTTAGCTTTTTAGACCAGTGGTATTCCTAGACGTTTTATAAGAGTTCACATTCGTTGTCTATTAATCAAGATCCAGTGAAAGGCCTACGGTTTTGATAGTAACCTTAAATATATGCTGGCGTAGGGTGTTTTGGATGATTTGGCCGCCGGTATTTACAATTTGTCTAATATTAAGACGATCACGACGTGCGGAGATTGTGAATCTATTAGACGAGGGAATTAAAATGGGCATATTATCAATCTTTACGCGGTTCTCATAACTAAACTCAAGTATGAGGGCATAGTAGTAAAAGCTAGGTACTAGTAGTAACCCATGGAAATATATATCTTATATGCTTACCAACGACTATTAATCTAACTAGTTGGAACATTTCTTAGGCTGAATAATAATAGTATTTTGATTGGAGGCTAGAAGAAGAGAGAGAGAGAGCAATTGTATTCGTAACTGCTAACTGCTAAGGAAGAAGGGGAAAAAGAAGAAGAGGGAGAGGAGACTACAGTCCTGTCACGCAGGGTCAGGTGACACACCATAACATTTTGCTAGCTAGGGTTCTACCTGAAGACTGATATTGAACTTGATTTAGTCTCGGAATATGGAAGAACATCGAGAATTTATATAGATCAATCAGCCTAGGTATTACGATGCGATTTGAAACATATACAATTTTCTATACTGTACACCATTGATCCCAATATCTACTCTTACTTTCACCGTATCGTGCATATCGGCAAGCAAGATTGATGGAGCTACTGAGGACCAGCAAGAGAGAGAGAGAGAGAGAAGAAGAAAGGTTAGTTCCTAAAACATGCAGAGAGAGCTAGTTACTTATGTGGGGTGACAGCTAACAACTGGCTGCTATCTCTGGCGGAGGCAGTCTAGACCAGCGGGGTTGCTGTTGATAACGGAAGAGATCTGGGTACATCTATCATATCAAGTTGAATCTGGCTGTAGATCTAGAAATTACAACGTGTGACGCTGTAATCATGACTTGTGGTGCGGGGATATTATGATCCATGATACGAGCCGGTTTTCAACCTATGATAATTCCCGGGGCTATTGAATAAGAGCCGACTACAGGGAATGAGTCTTGATGCTTGTCAGAACACGGGAACACTATCCATATTTGATTGCGTGATGGGTAATAAATCGAGACGAGGTTGTTACACTTGCATCATGCCATTGTGAGATACATCATACAATATAACTACATAGTTATACAAATAAGGTGCCGATAAATTGCAACATCTACCGGTATTCAGTATTGCAAGAAACGGGGCCTATACAGCACATAGATAAAACGTAGGAGAAAGGATATAAAATGAGTTCCATTAGAATACATTTTACTTCCGATTACTTTGAAAGTATACTATTATATAGCCCATTTTATCTAGGTAACATAGTGAGCTAGAAAACAGGTGGCAGGTACTCTTGTGAAGTCATCGGAAAACGACCTCGGGATGATACATGATGGTCCACCCGTAGGTATGGATGAACGTTGATTATTAAGCGAGGTGGCTGGCAACTGCTTTTTAATAGTATCTCAGAGACCCCGAAGTAATCCCGAACGGATTGAATGGAAACTGTGAATCATATTACTGTACTCTGTATGTAGCATTCCCTATATAATCCGTAATATGTTGTAGTTTCAACCCAGACTAAGACATGGCCCAACTTATAGTGTTACACATATTCTTTATACCCAACGGGTATAACGGTCGGACTCCGCGGCTCGGAAGTTTCTTCTGGTCCGGAATCCTACGCGGGTTTTCCGCTAATATATTAGTATTATTATGTATCATATACTATATATCATATACAACATATTATATATCATACATTATTATGTTACCGAGGTTCATATATAGGGTACCTACAACATAGTTATATATATAACACTAATAATAGGCATTGTTCTCTTTGACACCCAAAGTTGAGGAAAATGAAAGGCGGTGTAACGGAGAGGGGCGCTAGCAGATGGAAGGATGCCCAACTGCTTCTGCCGCGTTTCTAGCGCCAAAGCCAAGACCCCGTCATGTTCCGACTGAAACTTGAGAATCGCCGCTCATTTCCAAGTTGGAAAGTTATAGTTTTGAAGTCAATTTCCCGGTCAACGGCTCTTTTGACAATATAAGAGATCTTCCATACAAATAGGGGGTCTTCAAAATGTCCATCATACTAGATATGCACTAGTTATACTATTGTAGCACCAACACCAGCCCCCGGTTATTGACACTTGTTCTTTATAAGGCTACGTACGGTTCAGTGCGAAGGCAAACTCGCCACCCAGATCTCTTATCTGAGATTACCCCTTGCAGATGACCCCGGATTTTACAGGGTATCTGAGTTCAACGCCTCGATCTATCTATCGTCGTTTGTATATCTATAGATCTACTCCGTACTTACGGCCACGATTCCCAGCGAAGATGTGTAGAAAGTGGAGAATGTTTCTTCACAATGAACTTAGAGAAAAGCTCAATATTAGTAGGAGAAAGTGCTGCTAGCTGCTCCACTTACGGCGGTGATCGGGAGACTGACATAATAATAATTGAATCACTTGAGTTCAGTCAGTGTAGCTCATTGCGTAACTCAACATAATTCAGCTATGGCTACTCCGTTCTTGTTCAGAATATCAGGAGATATTTACCCCCGTTAGTCCGTAACCTAAAATAAATATCGCCATCATCGACTTGAGGTCAGTTATGTCGATCAGTTACCCAAGGTAGTCCCCAGCCAAATTAGTCATAAGATACAGTACACTAGCCGTTTCAGGTAATTTGGTACATTACCGATATTACCGATATTACCGATCATGACGTTCGCCTCCTGCAAGCGGTGTGTAGAGAGAGTATTAACTATATCAATCTCACTGCTACATACGCGTTCAGGTAATTTCTGCTTGTTATTTCTCAGTAACTTGACCGTGATAGTCTAAGATCTACAAATTGACCATCAAGTTACATAGTACTATACTATTGAAATATCTCATGGAGAATTACTCGGGATCAGCTCGGGGCCAAGATCCGCTAAGGAAAACGATCACGTGGGTAAATACCGTAACAACGCTTGTCCCAAACCGGAAGCGTTGCCATTTCATACCCCGTCGTCTTCATGAGTCCCTTGCCCCTGCTGTTTCTTGACATATCATTCCTTGGTCGCAATATTATTCTTCCTGATCTGAACCCTTTCCTCCTCAGTCTTAAATCTAACAAAATTAAAAAAACGGGAGCTGCACTCCTTCAAGTGACTCGACAACTTTCTGCCAAAGCGGGACATCATCCGAGGGTGGACTCCTGCGTGTGAACCCGCCCAAAAACCGCCATCCACTCAAAAGTCCACTCATCGAGGGGCACCGACTGTCTCAAAGTCGCATTCTTTATTTTCTTCGGATTTTATCTGTGTGAGCTTCGCGCTTCAACGCGGGACTCGAAGAAACCCTGTTATCCATAAGCCCCTCGGGTTTGGCGTGACATTGCGCAAGACCGGACAGGGAACTAGGATATCGATTCGTCAAACCTCGACTTGGAATTCCCATCATTTTAAACAACCAAAAATTAACACTAGCAGTTCGTCACCATGACCGGTGCCACACCTATTGATATTTCCACTCGGCAGACGACCTCGGTGTCGCCGCCGGGTCAACAGGCATCTAATCTGACCTCGGCGCTGCAAAGAGCGGGCAACGGTGATCGTACAGGCAGCTTTTCACATCTTCCCGGAGGAGGACTCGGCGTGTTCAAGGCACCACCACCTCGTAAGGACTCGATTGGAGCAGCCACAGCACAATGGGGGAACGGGACGAAACCTATCTCGATGTCGGGATCCGCCCGCGACAAAGGTCGCCGTGAGTCGCTTGCAGGGAGTTTGGTGGGTGGTATGAGCTGGGGTGGTGTATCCGTTGGGAGTTGGATACGTGACGAGTGAGTGGCCTGTTCGGACCTAGAAGCCGCGGGGGGACCCCCCACCGTTTGTTGCTATTGTCGCACTGCATCAAGAGCTGACCAAGGAAAATTTCCGCAGTATCATAATGACTGGCACGTCGCCATTTACCTTCCAGTCGCCATCTTTCCATTCCTCATCGTATCTCCCGAAGCTGGAAGCGAATTTCATGCGAGACTTTTCGTGCTGCGGTGTGACGTTACCGACACTCCATGACCTATTACAACACTACGAAGAAGCTCATGCCACCAAGTCACCCAATCAAGGCCACCGCCCAAGCCAGGGTGAGAATCGAGCTGCCTTAGCGGCTGCCGCAATCGCACAGCAACAGAACCAACAGCATGGCAGCCAAGGACGTGGCCTGCAGCCCGACCGGACCCTGGACATGCAGCGCAAATTGGGCCAGAATCCATCTCCATTGCAGCACGCAGATCTAGACACAATCGATGACATGGAGTTGGACGATGCCCTGGGAGACGGAGACGGCTCAGCCTCGCAGATGTTCTCTTCTCAGCTGCATGAGGGTGGACAGGGCGGATATGGTAACTCCAACCAGCAGCAGTTAAATCTGGGTATGCTTCCAAGCCACCAAGGATTCAGCACACCCTCGCAGCCTGGTACACCGATCGGATCTGGACGACCAATTTCACTACAGAACAATCCGACTGTCTCTTCTGTCAACACCCCGACCTTGATGGCCAATCCGCTTCAAAATTCGCAATTCCGAAATACGCCCGATTCATCCGGACCAGGGACCCCGGCCGAAATTGACGAAAGCATGATGGGTGGGTTTGGTGATCTCAGTATGCAAAATAACACTATGGGCCAAAACCAGAACCAGTTTGGCCGCTTCAATGGGAACAATAATGACATGGTCGATCTTTGCATCGATGAACCGGCCAAACGGCTGTTCAGCCCCAGTGGCGGCATGGGTTCGCCCAACGCCCACTTTAAGCTCAGTGGAGCTCAATATGGCCCGAATAGCGATATTGCACGACGGATCCGCGAACAACAATTGCTCGCTGGGGTCCCAGACACCACCGTTATTCTCCCCAACGAAGAACCCAAGCCGTTCCGATGCCCCGTTATCGGCTGTGAGAAGGCATACAAGAACCAGAATGGGCTCAAATACCACAAAGCTGTAAGTTTGACCTGATAACCCCCCCCAGTCGTCTTATTTTTCTAACCGCTGCTTCTTTCATTCCAGCATGGGCATAATAACCAACAACTTCATGACAACGCCGATGGTACGTTCTCGATTGTCAACCCAGAGACATCAGCGCCGTACCCTGGCACGCTTGGCATGGAGAAGGAAAAACCCTACCGGTGCGAGGTGTGTGGCAAGCGCTACAAGAATCTGAACGGACTCAAGTACCATAAATCGCACTCACCACCCTGCAACCCGGATTTCCAGCTTGGAGGTCGTAACCTCGCCCTCGGCGGTGGAGTCATGCAAGGGCAGAACATCAACGTTGCTGGAGCTGGCCTCCCTGGAATTGGCGAAGAAGGCCTTCTGTGAACCCGTGAACAAATATGTCATTATGTCCATACATAATTCCCAGCTAATTGACGCGAACGATCTCGACGGCTTTCGGGAGTGGGAGCACTCCTGCACACACACGATGTCATGATTTTGAATTGGGTCCGGTGACTTTGGAGTTATTGCTTTTCTTTTTTCTTTCGAAATTTGTTCCCCTCTGGCTTACTTATTGACTGGGCTTTGTGATGCCCTTTTGCTTTCTATTCTGCTGTCTGGTAGATCCTTCTGGCATGATTGTTTTACCCCCACGCTTGATATCCCTCGCCGTTTCCAGATCCTATCTACTTGGCCTGGTAATAGAGCAATTCTTGAGCAATCAAGACCCCATCTCAGCAAAGAGCTGTCTAGAAGAAACTGCTTGCACTTACTTGCCTGCTTTTACTATCTGTTCATCTTGTCTTGCTTCTTTATACGGTATACGCGTGTTCCATGGGCGACGAACCAGGGGAATTGGATCTCCCCCGAAACTCCCCCTCATACTGCTGCTATTTATTTACTTTTGCTGCGTTCTTGCAAGGACAGGCTTTGTGCCTTGTTTCCGTGTTCATGTCCCGTTCATTGCGTCCATGTTTTCGCTCATGTGCTTCTTCCAACGACGACGGTTGCTCACGCACTCACCTGAAAATGCCGCCTTGAGCACCAGGAACTGAACACCACCAAAAAGTTTGGCGAAATGGGATTTGGCTGGGTTTTAACTGGAATCATGTGCGAGGTACGAAAATTCTGGGATTGGTTATTCTTTATTCTTCTCCCACTCTTCTTTCACATCCAGTCGGTGTTCGCTTTTTCTTCCCTGCGTCTCTCCTACCTAGAGACCGGATAGGGACTGGATCTGGGTTCTGGAAATCTTTAAAAGTGCGGTTTCTCGGCGTTGGATCCTTGTAGATATGGATTGGTTTTTGATACGATTTGGCTCTTTCCGCCCAATGTCACTTATCTTCTTTTTCACCTTGTCTTGCTATTCGATTTTCTTGACTTCATTTTCGGTTACGTTTATTACTGTAGATCCGGGTTCTGGACTTAGACCTAGTAGACTAATTGGCATTCTTGTCTAAAAACCTGTAAGCTGATGGTTGGAGATAACCTTGAGGCTAGTGGAAGTTGTTCAGAATCATAGTTTCATTTGTGCTTATTTTGAAACTACTAAGATCGATCTTTCAAGCTAGTACAAAACCAGCCATGAAGGCATGGCATGAGCAAAGAGAAACATGTAAAAAAAAAAAAGCCGAAGCAGAAACCCATCCTCAGTTGTAAGCGCCGTGAGCCATTCGAAGCTCAAAATCAAAGAAAAAGCGAAGCAAAGACCCGGTTGCTGACCATGTCGATATTTGGGTAGTGAGAATCATGAGAAAATATTTCGCTTGCACAAACCGTTTCGAGGGCGTGAATGAAAAGACGTAGGGATTGGTTTTCGTTTGTGCCATGAGATAGATAGAGCACATATGAGCAGAAAATTGTTACAGAACCAGAAAAAAAAGATGTCGTGAATGGAAAAATGGAAACCAGAAGATGGGTTGAAGGAACATGAAGTGATGGTGTAGTTTTAACTACCACTCAAATTCACCTTGACCCTTGTGGAAGACGTATCTAGTAAGGTTAGTACATATATAACATGGCAGACTGGGATTGACTTACTCTTTGCCACCAGTGGTCAGGATGCCATCCTTCAAGGTGCACTTCCACTTGTTCTTCACGCGCTGAACCTTGTCGTATGTGCAAAGCATAACCTGACCCTCCGATTCATCTGCGTCATGGTCATCAGCAACGAGGTCATCTGGATCATCCAGGTCCGAGTTGATGGCGTCTTCGTCTTCCTCCTTGAGATCTTCTTCTGCGCCATCAAACTGGCCAGTGACGCGAGGGGCAGATGAAGTTGACTCGGTGGTAGCGTTTTGGTTGAGGGGCGTGGTAAGAGCCACACGGCGAGCGACCTTGGCAGAGGACTCGTGCTCGTCCAGAGGACGAAGGAGACCTCCGCCCTCATACTGAGACATGCGCTGCTTGAGATGCTCGCGCAGAAGTCGGTCACCTTCTCCATTCTCGGCAGCTGCTCTGCGGCGTGCTACCTCTGCCTTCCAGTCGGTCATTGGGTCACCTCCACCATCGGTCTGTCCAGGACCCATGTGCGGGTAGTTCTGTTCTTGTTTGACTGGTGGCATTTGCCCGTGGGCATTAGGGTGCATCTGATATCCTTGTCCAGCTTGGGCCTGGGCTTGCATTTGGTGGACGGAGTTCGCGGCTGCGGCGCCGTATTTCTGCTGAAGCGCATTTGCAGCACGGTCGCGAGCCGACTGAGGGTTGAGACCATGCGGGGGCATGGGTGTTGTCATGTGCGGCATTCCGGGTTGGCCATTGGTTCCTGGCTCGGTCTTGATGCGAGGCCCGCCCATGTGTGGAATGGTGTGCGAAGGGCCTATATGGGAAACACTGTGCGAGGGCGCAGCTTGGGGAATTGAAACGGGCGGCGGAACATATTGCTGCTGGGGAGGTTGTTGCCGGGGAGCGTTGGAGGGGACAGTAGCCGTGGGGAGGGGAACCGAGTGCTGCTGAGGAGGCTGAGGAGCAGGATCCCAGGGGAAATGAGCGACGTTCACAGAAGAAAGCTTATGTTGCCAGGTCTGTATAATAATTTCAAGGTTAGTATATCCTGTATGATATAATCAAGTATGATGAGACAGAATCTTGGCGGTCTAAAAGCGCCTAAGCGGGTAAGAGCGGCACATATAAAAAGGAAGACTCATAAGCCGGTGTTCCCCCATAAGCACCGCCTCCCGCACCACTTCGACCATCCCCGCTTTTGGGGAAATCATCCACACCAGACTTTGACAACCCAAGACAGACAATATAGAGTAGGAAAATATGGTAAATATGGTACTAACCTCACGCAGATCATGCAGGGTCTGTTGGTCGACACCGCTTTCCTCAAAGTCGACCTGGGAAGCATCGCAGACCTCCTGGATGACCTTCTCGAAAACCGTACCCTATGAAGCCATAAGTGTCAGCTCTCATCTCAGATCAAAGGAACTTTCAACAGAAATCAGGAGAACACGGTCATAAGTGAAGAGTAAACTCTCTATGCGAGCGACGACTGTGGATGAATAGGGTAGTTGTCGGAGAAGAAGCTGGCACTTACCACTTGCTGGTTGGACATGATTGCTGAGCAAGGACGACTTGATGAGCTTGATGGATGATTATGCGAAGGGGGAAAAGAGCAAGAAACAGAGTGACTGGTGAAATGTACTGGGTAATGATAGCTTGGCTAGGATGTAAAGTGCTCCGTCGCAACTATCAAGTTGCCGGAGTGCTGGTCGATCACGCCCAAGAATGACGCAATATCAAGCAATTTGTGAATACGGTAGTATTCACACAAATAGAGAGAAGAAGAAAGACCTTAAAAGACAAGTGAGGCAAGTGCAAATGTCCAAGGAAAACAAGACGGTGAGTTTCGCGATGGGTTGGCGAAGGTGAAAGTCACGGCTCTGCGGTCGAAATCCCACTGTATCCTGGAGGCTTAGTCATCGGCCGCCAACCCACATGGGCACTTTTTTAAGTAAAATCGAAGTAAATCGAAGAAGCAGAGACAAGATACAAATAAAGAAGAAAATGGATAAGCAAAATTGAATTAAAGCAACCGTAAGAATGGCATTTGGACAATTTGTACAGCCAGTTTACGGGAAAGTAGATACAAAGAACACCATCAGAACACCAAAATCATCACCAAAAAGAACCATTACACCGAAATTAATGTCCCAGCCCATCAATGCTTTCAATATCACCATGAACCAGGGTATCCAACAAAAAATAATAACAAGAAAAAAGGGTAATGTTGCAGGCGTCTAGCGGATGGTCATAGACTTGGCCATCTGAGCCTTACTGCCGACACCACCCTCACGAGCGGAGGAGGCACTGGTACCAGCCTTGCGCTCAAAGATCTTCCAGAACTTCAAGCTCTCATCAGCAGCAGTGGTGGCCAGCATCTGTCCATCAGGGCTGATAGCACTGTGCAGCACGCGGGTCTCGTGGGCAGGGATCTCGACGTTGCGAACAAGAGTTGGGTAACTCCAGATGCTGAGAGAGTTGTCGGGGAAGCCGCTGGAGCTGACGATCTCACGGTAGTGGTTGCTCCAACGTAGAGAAGTGACTTGGGAGCCAGTGTCAATGCTGTTGGTGCGAGCGCCGGTGGTAGTGTTCCAGAAGTGAATGTGACGGTCGTAGGAACCACCGCCAGTGGCAAGGAGGTTGGATTGCCAAGGGCACCAGCTCAGAGCCTTGACGGCAGCGCGGTGGTTGGTCTTGGTGAACTTGGGGGCACTCAGAGAGCGAGCATCCCAGATGTTGACGAGGTTATCGTTTCCACCAGTGGCGAGCTGAGCGCCGTCAGCGCGCCATTCTAGGCCGCAGACCTCAGAAGTGTGGGAGACCAGCTCAGCGATCTTGTGCTCTGCGATGCGAACATCATGGTTGTAGACAAGGCCACTACGGGCTCCAGTGGATAGAGTGTGCTTATTCCAGCCCATAACACCGACACGGGAGTCGTGGCCGTACATGCTGCGAAGCTTGGAACCTTCCTCAACATCCCAGATCTGGACCTCACCGGTTCCCAAGCCAACACCAACGTAGGCACCATCGCCACTCCACTTCACGCTGCTCACATAGGTGTCGGGAGAAGTTTCCAAAAGAGAGGTGACAGACCCAGACTCAGCAGACCAGACGTATACGTTTCGCTCTAGACCGATGGCGACCTGGTTGCCAGAGCTCCAGTCGAGCAAATTGAGATAGTAATCATCCAAAAGACCTGGAGCATCCAAAACCCGCTCGGGCGCAGTTTGAACCCGGCGACGGAACTGGGCAGCTGTGGATTTGGCAGGGCGGAGGGGGCGGTTATATTGAGCACGAAGATCAATAGGCTTCGATGACTCGGGAGGGGGAGGCTTAAAGGCGAGGATGCGAGTGTTCATGTTTACCCCACAAGCTTCAGCCAGAGATGATTTGTAGGCCACAGCATCAGGAGCCGGACGAGTATAGGTAGGAGGCTCATTGTCATCCAGACCCAAGTTCTCCAAAGCAGCAGTAAGGTCATCATCAGATCCACGAGCACCAATGTCAAAAGCGCTGGCCGCCGAGGCGAGAACCGACGATCCGTCAGTACTACCACTCTTAGGGCGCTGTTTCTCATCTGGCTTTGCCGCCCCGCTAGTGGCTAGGCCCTCACTTGCGCTCCGGTTGGGAATAAAACGGTCACCAGCGTTGTGAGGAATGCGCACAGTTGTCTTGCTAGCACGAGCGCGGGTAGGAATCTCCCGACGGATGTGCTCCTTGGAAGGGGTGTTGACTGTTGTGGAACTTGTACCAGTCAAAGTCCAGTCCGAGACTCCGAGCTCCAAGTGCTTGGGTGACTTTCGAGTGCGGGTGCTCGCAATATTCGACTTGTTTGTTTTGGGAGAGTCACGGTGGGTTGTGCGGGCTGCCTTCGAGATGGACTTGGCGAAGTGAGCAGAGAGGTTTCCACCGTATACTGACTTGGCTTGATTGCGGCCAGCATCAGACTGACGAGGAGGGGTGAAGGGTGACGAGTGGCCACTTGCGCGGGGGTTTGGCGAAGGGCTTAGAGGCATACGGCCTCCAGCAGTCTTAGAGGAGAATAGCCCATGGTGACTTTTCACCGGAGTTGTGGCAGTAACAGAAGCCATAGTAATATATGATCAGAGTAGATGTAAAGGGACCAACCCTAATAGAAGATGCAATACGAATCGATGCAAAAGGTTAATGTGGAAATCAACCAACAGAAAAACTATGCAGACAATTGAGGATAGTGAGAGATTGAGGTATGAAGAAAATGAAAGGGAATTCAGGAGAAAAGCGAATAAATAGAAGGTAGGTACTTCCACTATAACTCGTTGCTGAAAAGCATGAGGCTCTCCCCATAGCAACGGTTACCTGAGCTACATAGACCACTAATCCCAATTGGGACTAGTGTTGAAATACCGCGCTTGCCTTCTTTAGGAATAAAATTATCTTGGCATTTCTTTTATCACAAATTGTCTGATTCACTAAGGCAAACACAAAGAAGATGAAGAGTCTATACAGAACATATCTTCCATAAGTCTTAGAGGAGAAAATATCATGACCAATTGTGCCAGTTGCGGATACAATTCAAGATTCCTTTTTTTGCCACTGGGATGGCGCATCCATCTCCTCTCTTGCAACCCCCACCACGTTCCTCTCAGTTCCACCGAGACCCACCACGACTTCTCCCTGCCTGGCCGGGATCTTTGAGGGTCTCTAACCCGATATCCTGTTGTACTCCCTCTATAGCAATGCAGGACGCCTTTCTGATGCCCGCCAGTCAGACTGGCGGTCGCCGGACCAGCGCGGACTATCGACCCGGCATAAAAAAGGCCCAGGGCCATGTCCCTGCGTGCCTGGTCAATGCCTCAGTAACGTACTGCAGCAATGATCGCATTTATGCATTCGGGGGGTTTGACCAGTTTACCGATGAAGGTTCACATAACTACTCCTTAACTTATAATCTCTAAAATGGCACTAATGAATTTTTTTTTTTTTTTTTAGTTTATAACCACGTGCTCAGGCTGGACTTGGAGACTCTGCGTTGGGAACTCGTTGACAACTATGGCGATATCCCCGGAGTTCGCATGGGTAACGATTCTCTCTTCTCATTCGTCCATGTTTAATGATAGACACTCTGACTATAATTTTTATTTTTGATAGGACACACGGCGACATTATACCAAGGGGATAAATTGATTGTATTTGGAGGCGAAAATGAACATCGGGAATACCTTTCCGACGTCGTTATCCTCGATCTCAATACCTTTACCTGGGCACTTCCCGAAATTCGCGGGTCGATCCCGCGCGGACGAGCCCGCCATGCTGCTGTCATTCATGAAGATAAGCTTTTTATTGTGGGTGGAGTGACAGGCGTAGGAGGCGTGACAGGGGAGAAGAATGTGATCTTGGATGATTTGACTTACTTGGATCTACAAACATGGACCTGGTCTCGAACATGGAGCTTCACTGCTCGCTTTGACCATACAGCTTGGGTTTGGGGCACCCGGCTCTGGATATTTGGTGGATTGGGTCCAAACATGGAACGGACGACTGATATCTGGTGGCTCGACCTCAAGGGATCTCCGTCGTTGGCTGGAAATACCACTCCCCAAAGGTACAGTCAACTCCCTGGACGTCAATCTTTCTGCGGCTTATCTTCCAGACTCTATCTCTAGCACCCCTCACCAAATGTCGCCCCGCTCCGGAATATACGCCGCCAACTCAGGCAGTGTGCAGGTACGCAATTTGGGACGGCGCAAGCCCGTAGCGCCTGGTGCCATATCGTGTCTTAGGTTTGATTCTGGTCCTCATGTTCCCTCCCTCTTTTCTGGTACCCATTTTCATTCATTTGCCTCTGGTGTCCTGCTTGACCTAATCACACCCTCGGAGACCGTACGGTCGCATGATTGTAACCTGTCGGCTCTGGACCTGAACTCGCTACGTTGGCAACGGCTGGCCGATGGCCAAGAGATCTTCCGGCCTGGCTATCGATGGCACTACTGCACTATCAATAACACGGGGACCAAAGCATGGCTCTTGGGGTGTAGTCTTGATGTCGCGAATGTCCCGGGAGGTAGCGACGAGAATCATATGAGTGAAGTCCTGACTATCGACCTGGAAAAGTATGGTTTGCTAGGTAACGGCCTGTCGGCAGAACCTCCCGAACAAGGTGCACCTTGGCCGTCTGATCAAATGGGCTCTCAGGTTTCCGGGCTTGGAACTGATCTAGCTGCTGTTTTTGACAACCCCCCTGAATCCGGAAGTGGCACGGACTTTGTCATCACTGCTATTCGTGATGATCACTACGGGACTGTCTCGGAAGATATGTGCGATACCCCGTCTGTTTCCCCAACCCAGGCCCAACCGACCTTTGTGGAACAGAACCCCTGGACTTCAGAGCCCATCCATGTCCATCGTATCATTCTCCAGCTCAGGTGGCCGCATTTCAAGCGCTTGTACTCCGCCCAGATGGCTGAGTACCACACTAAGCGGATGCACATCCCCGAGCCTTACTCTGTCGTGCGCGCGTTTCTCTATTACCTATACACAGACAGTATCGCTGGCCATCCAGAATATTGCTCGAGTGTTATTGACGTGGCGGGTATGCTTGTCATGGCCAATATTTATGACATGCCGAAGCTTCGCCTCCTGTGCGTCAATAGGTTAGGCCAAGAGCTTGATGTAGACAACGCGGCCATTGTCTGGGAGCGTGCGGGCCGGACCAACGAGCACTGGCTGATGCGCCGAGCAGCACAATTTTGCATGACATACTGGGGTCGCGTGGTGCGGACAGACGGTTTCAAATCCCTCAGCCACCAGAGTCTGATTCAACTCTGTGAGGTGGTGGATACAGAAGGTCGTGTTTTCGCAGGGCCTGAATTGGAGATGGTCACATTCGGCGCAGATGGTTCACATGACCGAGACAAAAGCTCTCGAATGCGGGTGGGATCTACCACAGACGAGATGTCTGAGCTTGAGGCGGACGACGAAGGGATGGAGATCTCATGAATTGCACGAATGGGGCACGCATTATATTCCGGAGTCCTTGGCGGTATCTTTCTTTTTTTTATTAGGTTGTATTGTATTTGCATCTATCTACGCATTCATATATCAAGTTTTTGGAATATACACCTTTTTACATCTTTTTACACCGTCTCCTTTCAATGTGATCGGGCCGTTCAGCCGCTCCAGGGCTGGCGCTAAGCTCATTCGTCACGAGATGTGGAGTCTCTCGATGTTTTGGACGCGGAGTCCACTCCGGATCGCGGAGGTCATTCCTGTCACGATAAGGAAGCTCTCCATAGGTTTCGTACATTGTTTCAACAAAATGAAAATATAAAACTTGAAGTTACATAAATATCGATGTGCGCTCTTATTCGAAACAATCTGGTTAACCGACGGTTTCAATTGATATCCCTTTGACATTGACTTCACCATGGGATCCACCGAACAATCCAGTCTTCCTTCGGATTTCCTCTGGGGTTTTGCAACTGCCGCATACCAGATTGAGGGAGGAGTTAATGAAGATGGCCGTGCTCCGTCGATTTGGGATACATTCTGCAAGATCCCTGGCAAGATTGCCGGCGCTGGAACTGGAGATGTAGCCTGTGACTCGTATCACCGCACACACGAGGATATCGCGTTGTTGAAAGAATGCGGTGCTCAGGCATATCGGTTTTCCCTGTCATGGTTCGTCTCTTTGTGTCCCTACTTCGAGCCTCCATCTATAGATTGTTTGTTAACCTTAGCTTGTCTAAACCTGTAGGTCCCGCATTATCCCCCTCGGCGGGCGGAATGATCCAATCAACGAGAAAGGCATACAGTTCTACCAGAAGTTCGTGGATGACCTGATTGATGCGGGCATTACGCCCATGATTACCCTCTTTCATTGGGATCTTCCGGATGAGCTCGATAAGCGCTACGGTGGACCTCTCAACAAGGAGGAGTTCGTTGCTGACTTCGCACACTATGCTCGCGTGGTATTTGAGGCCTTTGGATCCAAGGTCAAGTACTGGATTACCTTCAATGAACCTTGGTGCACTAGTGTCCTTGGATATAACACTGGTGCCTTCGCTCCGGGTCACACGAGTGACCGCACTAAGAGCGCAGTGGGAGATAGCTCGACTGAGCCGTGGGTTGTCAGCCACAGCTTGCTAGTTGCCCACGGAGCTGCAGTAAAGATCTACCGCGATGAATTCAAAGAACGTGATGGTGGTGAAATTGGCATTACGCTTAACGGTATCGGCCCATTCTCCCCCGCATGTATACAGAAACCTTTATTAATCAAACCATAAAATAGGTGACTGGGCTGAGCCCTGGGACTCTGAGAACCCTGCCGATGTGGAAGCCTGCGACCGCAAGATCGAGTTCGCCATTTCATGGTTCGCTGACCCGATCTATCACGGCAAGTACCCAGACAGTATGATCAAGCAACTTGGCGACCGCCTGCCAACCTGGTCACCAGAGGACATTGCCCTTGTCCAAGGTAGCAACGACTTCTACGGGATGAACCACTACTGTGCGAACTTCATCCGTGCTAAGACGGGAGAAGCGGATATCAACGATATCGCGGGTAACCTGGACCTCCTGCTCGAAGACAAGAATGGCGTGAGTGTCGGACCTATCACACAATCGCCCTGGCTGCGACCATCTGCTATCGGATTCCGGAAACTGCTCAAGTGGCTCAGTGAGCGGTACGGCTATCCTAAGATCTATGTCACCGAGAATGGAACTAGTGTCTTGGGCGAGAACGATATGCCGCTTGAGGAGTTGCTCAACGATGAGTTCCGCGTGCAGTATTTCCGGGACTATATCGGCGCCGCGGCTGATGCGTATACCCATGATGGTGTCAATGTGCGGGCTTACATGGCTTGGAGTCTTATGGAGTATGTTTGGACCTTGTTCCCTTGATGATTGTGGTATAATGTCCAACTAACTTGTTTACTTTTAGCAACTTCGAATGGGCTGAGGGCTACGAGACCCGCTTCGGTGTTACTTATGTTGACTATGAGAACGACCAGAAGAGAATTCCAAAGAAGAGCGCCAAGGAGATTAGCCAGATCTTTGATCGGTTGATCGAGAAGGCCTGAGATTGATGCGGCCATGATTGATCTATATGCTGGTGGACTCCGGCAACTGCCATGATACCTGGATCCTATACGAAATTTTTGAATGCATATGATATTTGATTTTCTAGTTCTGCAGTGGGCTGCGTAGTTCAGTACACAATATAGCAGAACCTGTGAGGCTGTTAAAAATCAAGGATGATGGCAATATGGATATTGAGTTAATAGATTGTGCGAGAAGAGCGTTCAGTGAAAGAAACCCAGATTAACTAGTTCTATATACCTATAGGCATTCCCATGCTTTATGATCAATTGAGAGGTCTCGACACAGTCCTCCTTATGAATATTGATTGGTTATAGTACTACATACACCATGGTCCTTACGGCACCCTGTTAATCTCTTCTTCCATACATCACGATATCACTTGGTCATTGTTGAAAATCCATGCAGGACATGTTTGTCTGTATCCATGCTGCACAAGCAAGCCGTACCTCCATACCTACTAGTATATAAATGGAGCCAACCCCCTGGTTTCCAAAAGATTCCAACCTTTCATCACTCTCCAGGTGTCTTCATTATCTATATAATTATAACCCTGGTCCTTACCCATGTTTATGGGACACCGATTTTGTCCAGAGTATGTATCTCCCACTTCTTAAATGAAGGTGATCCAACAGCTAAACCCCACACAGAGAAAACCCATATAGTTACCTTGATATAGGACTGGGGAACACAGAGCCCCATGTCATTCAGTGTTCGCGTCACAGAAATAGCGCACACCACGATTCTCGGTGCAGACGGAACCCCGAGAACCGAACCAATACAGAGCATATGTCTGCTGTCCTCTACATTGGTATTCCAAACTACCCTATGCCACTACTTGAACGTGGAGGTCGTATGCTTTGCTTGTTGCTTGCTTCTTGCGCATTCATACAAATGCGGAGTTGCATTCATTCCACTACAGTATCCTTCGGACTATGCCTCCACCTTTCTTATTTCTTCCTCATCTTCCGTATTTTGAATTGAGTACTCTTGGTCCAAAGACCTAGCTTATAACGACATCCCTCCATACAGAGACATCTTTTCCTGATCTGTTCACGGATTGACCTGAGCTCTGTCTCTCCTATTAGCTCCTAGCACTCTTCATCGAGTTTCCATCATGTTGGATACAAACCCAAGCTAATTGACTGTGGAATTCAAAGTCACAAGCAAACAGCGCTTCACTACTTCCCAAGCAATCAATATGGGTGCTTAAGGACTCAATGTCTGCCTGAAGATTCAGTTTTTCCGCTGAAAAATACTTCATACTTTGAATATATCCTTTCGTTCTCTGCGCTACATATGATCAAGCTATACCTTAATCTCAATGTAAATTGAAAACTACATAACTATCTGATGCGAATTCTGACACCCGGGCGCCAAGTAAATCCGCCTCCGAATTAGATATTCTCTCCATTCGCGTAGGGCGATAATTTATTTACTCATCAAGAACAAACAGCATGGATATATCCCAAATCTCCAAGCAGCTTTTGCCAGAGCCCAAGAGATTCCCAGACTGCTGCTTAGCCATTTCCAGCAGTTTAATCACCTACCTTGCTTCGCTCCTCCCAAAAAAGCCCACATTCACCGTCTCAATCGGCAGCGGATCTGGTCTCCTCGAAGGTCTCATTGTGCATTACGACCAAAATGTCTCGGTGCAGGGTGTTGAGGTGGATTCAACGATTAATCGGTACATCGCTGAAGAAGATATGAATATCGTTGGCGGAGGTTGGGGCCTTTGGTCTGCCGCCCAACAAGCTGCAGCGTGGATGTTTGTGTACCCACGGGATCCAAAACTCATCACCAAATACATTGATACCTATGGTGATCAAAATGTTGATTTCATCGTCTGGCTCGGGCCTCGGGTCGATTGGCCAGATTATGAGCCGCGTTTCTGTCAATCTCCGTTCTCCGAGCTGAGTTTTCCAGATCATATCGGATTAACACCATATGAGACTGTGGTTGTTGCTAGAAGACCATGTTGATATGATATATTGGGCGCTTGGCAAAAATAGCTCCTACTCTTAAATGACTATTGGCCATTCCTCGTCTGTCTTCCAAAGTAATTCTTACATTAAATCTAAAGCACGAGGCTAAGCTCAAAGCGCATACCTAAAGTGCTTGGACTCCATATCCGTCAAATCATTAAAGCCATCCAAGATACCCTGAGAGGTAACATCCTCCGGTGTCTCTTGAGTATCAGCCGCAACCAATGCAGCATCCCTCCTTCCATTTTCCCATTTCATCGAGATATAAGCTGCACATGCTAGAACAATGATACCCGCATAGCAAATAAGCAGGCCCAGCAAACCCGAGTAATAACGCGGGGCCTCACGAGCGAAGAAGATATTCGCTCCGGCGACATTACCAGCCGCATAGAGCGAGAACCAGAGACCGTTAGCGACCGCACGTTTAGTGTGACCGGCAACATTGGTTGCAAGTAAATTCCACGAGATAATGACAGGAGCACCAATGAGATATTGCAGCCAGGTGCATCCGACCAAAGTCCACGGATGATCGAGGCTGGTGAAGCGGATACCCAGGAGACCGCCGAAGGGAATCAGACAGACGACAGCGAGAACGATGCAGCGTGTATCTTTAACGTATGTAGCAATGATGCCGCAGATTGGTACAATCACCGCTTCGAACGCACCTGTAGGTAGTTGGAGGAGTGTAGCGTTGATCCCGCTAAAGCCAAATCCTTTGATCAGGGCTGATGCGAAATTCGATGAGCCACCGTTGATCACACCGCAGGCGATGCCGACTCCGGCACAGCAGAGGACTCTGAAATCATAAAGAATCTCCAGTGCCTGGTGTGGTTTGATGTCTCGGGTCTTCACGCCGATCATGTTCTCGGCGACGCGCTGCACGGCAATCACGCGCTGGCGGTGGGTCAGGAAGCGGGCGGAGCTGGGCGAATCGGGCATGACCCAGAGGAACATACAGGCGCAGAGGAAGTTGAGTAGTCCGATGGTTAGGAAAATCAACTGCCAGCTGCGGAGCGCGGTGTTGTGTGAATGGCCAAGGCCGAATCCTAATAGTGCTCCTACCATCGTGGCCATGCCGTTTGCACTGAGCCAGATAGCCATGCGCAACGGTTGTTCGGAGCGCTTGTAGAACATTGATGTAAGGTTCATCACTAGATAGAACAAATCATATCAGTCTTTTTCATGCATTTGGTCTATGCTGTGGGTTACTCACTGCATGGACTGACTCCGGCTTCTGCCATACCCAACAGGAATCTCAATACCAGAATTCCTGGGTAATTCTTCGCTCCAACATGTGCGACAACAAGTACACTCCAGATCAAAATCATACCGCCCATATATTTTGCAATTGGCAATCGCTGGATCAAGAGGTTGGCTGGGAGAGCCCAGAATAGATAACCGAAGTTGAAAATAGCGGCAACCCATGAATATCGTTGGCCTTCAAGAGCAAGGTCTGGGATCAAGGAGTATGCCGATGCATAGTTAAGTGATAGTTTGTCTACATGGACATGTTAGTTTGTATTCTCATAGAATAACCATGGAGAAATGCCTCTAGCATACCGAGGAATTGAATAACATATGTTATGTAGAGCTAGAAGACGAGAGACAGTCAGAAGTAATACTCATCAAAATATCAGAGTGTATCAGAGTGATAACTCACCATGGGCATAATCCTCCAGTCGATGATTCTTAGCACTGCAGCGCCCTCCGTCTCCAGTTCCTCGGCAGTCAGTTGCTCTGCCTCCAGATATAGATTCGCTCCGATATCGTGGGTCTCGCCGAGACCAACATCTTTCTCCGCAGTGGACTGATCCACCTTTGTATCTTTGGGGTTCATAGTTAATAGGTAGGTATGGGGGTCAAGTTGAACAAAAACTGAAGGGTTCCTATATTGGAATCCAGCCTCTAGTTATTATATATAATCATATCATGACCATAACCTATCAAAGTAAAGAGATAAGCCAACATTATCTCTTTGTCTCCCCTCTCTCTCCAGGGTTTATCTTTGGCTGTGAGATAGGAGCAGCGGTCAATAGTCCGAAAAGTGTGGGGGAGGCGGACTATTGTCCGCTGTACTTAACTCTCTCTCTACAACATACTCCATATATTACTCGTCTTCAATCCTACCACTCGCATTTTATTTCTATTTTACAGTTCAATAAAGTCAATACCCCCTCAACGTTATGTCTCACAAATCCCAAGACTTATCACTATTGGACGCCAGTATCTCCGAGCTCCAATCTGCGCTCTCATCAGGGCTACTCTCTAGCGTGGGCTTGGCATCAAGATACCTACGACGAATCAGCGTTTACGACGCCGACAATCTAAAACTCGCCGCTATCCCAATCCTAAACCCATCCGCCCTCGATGAAGCAGCCGCCTCTGATGCCCGGCGTGCAGCAGGTCTGCCCCCGCGTCCATTGGAGGGTATCCCTTATCTCGCAAAAGACAGTATTAAAGTCAAGGGCATGACCGTTGCGAGCGGATCACCTGCATTTGAAACCCTCATCGCCAACGAGGATGCTGCCTGTATCAAACTTCTCCGCGAAGCCGGCGCCGTGCTTCTTGGTCGGACGAATATGCCCGCCATGGCGTACGGTGGTATGCAACGTGGGTGTTATGGACGTGCGGAGAGTCCATATAATCCTGCATACCTGGCTGCGGCGTATGCTTCCGGTTCATCAAATGGATCGGCCGTTGCCACGGCGGCCAACTTTTGTGCTTTCTCTCTAGGCAGTGAGACTGTTTCATCGGGTCGCTCGCCGGCATCAAATAATGCCGTTGTTGCATATACGCCTTCGAAGGGCCTTCTTCCTCTCCGTGGTGTCTGGCCACTATACTTGACCTGTGATGTTCTTGTGCCTCATACCAGGACTGTGGCAGATATGTTTCACGTCCTAGATGTTCTGGCCGTGTCCGACAAAGCCCCGATAGGGGATTTCTACCAGGAACAAAAACTCATCTCCCTCCCTTCCATCAATACAATCCGACCGCAATCCTTTTCAGAATTACAAGATAGCACATCCTTGCGCGGGAAGCGCATTGGGGTTCCGTCAATGTACATCGGAGGTGATGACTCTTCTCTGTCCCCAGCCAGCAAAGTCAACACTCGACCCTCCATAATCAAATTATGGCAGAACGCCAGAAACGTCCTCGAGTCCTGTGGTGCGGAGATAATCGAAACGGACTTCCCACTCGTGACAACCTATGAATCGAACGCACACAAGGGCCAGCTCGTCACTGTCGCAGGACTACCAGAAGGCTGGTCCGCACTGGAGCGGAGCGAGCTCGTCGCGCATATATGGGATGACTTCCTGATCAACAACGGCCAAAAGGGTCTGGAGACTCTTTCTCAGGTCGATCCGACGACTATATTCCCGCTTGCGCCGGGATCTTTGAAGGGCGCGCCCGATGCGGCTAATGCGCTGCGATGGGATGAGATTGTTAAATACCCACACCGGAAGCCAGCGTCTATTTACGACGTCCCCGGTATTCAGCAGGGAATCCAGGCTCTTGAGAATGCACGCAAGGAAACCCTTGAGGACTGGATGGATGGACTTGGGCTTGATGCTGTGGTTTTCCCGGCGAATGGTGATATCGGGGCTGCTGATGCGGACTGTGATGAGACGGCTTCGCTGTTTGCGTGGAGTAATGGCGTCAAGTACTCCAATGGAAACAGACCTATCCGCCATCTTGGCGTCCCTACTATCTCCGTTCCTATGGGTATCATGGAAGATACGGGGATGCCAATTAATCTTACGTTCGCTGGAAAAGCATATGATGATAACAATCTGCTTAAGTATGGCTTTGCTTTTGAGACGGCGATGAAGGGCCGTGTTCGGCCACCGCTCGTGCCTGCTCTTGACTCTGATTGTATCAAGGGTGGTCAAGACCCTCAGCCATGGGCCTCTCAATCGACTGTTGAGTTGGTGGTGGAGACTCAAGTGAAAGAGATTCACGATTCCACGGTTGTGGTCCAGATCCAAGGATCGGTGGTACCCAAGGACTCACAGCTGATGACTATGGAATGCCATGTCAACGGTCAACCATTCAAGCCGGTCATAGAAGGTGATAGATGGTTTGCCAGAGCTTCCTATCCGGCATCGGAACGTGACCAGTCATGGAAGAGGTGGTCGAGTCCTGCTCTAACGCAGACTATCGTAGTTATTACAGCTCATATGGAGGCCGGCTCGACAACGGGAAAGCTGATCTTATTATGAAGACCTAGTGTCACCAAAGAAATATAATGTTCTTTCCATTACTCGAGTATGCATCACTCCTAAACTAAGTACAAATCCCTCCCCATGTTATAATCTTTATTTAAAATCATCCTCTAACAAGTCTTGATGTATACTCCTCCCATACATCATATCTTCAATCATTCCCAAGACAGCCCGGTGCAAATAATTCCTCCTCAGTTGCTCCAAGTTCAATTCAGCCTCTTCTAGTGATATCGGAGCACTGGAATTAACTCCAAATGTACCAGAATTCCACATGATTTTCTGTCGTATGAACTCGAACACCTTCATATACGGCGTTACATCATTCCACCGGTCGACAAAGCCAGCCAGATTAGCTGCACATGTAGCAATGGCCTGTTGGTTGTTCAGTCTGATGCGCTGTTGATCCTGAAGATCAGTGATATGAGTTGTCGCCCAGACAATGTAAAGCATCATGATTCCTGCTCGGAATTGGAATACAAGCTATTGAAAGATTGTTAGTCAACCCAAACCACCTCGAGTACACCGCAATAGAAGGAAAGGAAACCGGGGGTTGACACATACTGCAGACCAGGTAAAGCACATCACATGTCCTTCCTCTTGTAAGAGCCGGAAATTGAGACAAACTTCCGCAATCGTCGCGAGGATTTCTTCTGTTCCGTCCATCTCAATGAAATCGCGTTTCTCGTCTATCAAAATCAAGAGACTGTAAACATAAAGCTTTCGCATCCATATAGGATGGAGATAACCGTGCTGGTCATTGTCTGATTCATAGTGTGGAATCTCTTGTCGCCATCTATCAAGGGTGGACTTAAATGAGGAGCTATAGTCTTTACCATATCTTGCAGAGGGATGGCGAGCCCGGTTCTCCCGTGATCTTCTGATGTTGGCTTGGATCTTACGTAGTCGGAACAAGTGGCTTATGGCGGGGTTTGTGCTTAGGGTTGGTTGGAGGTTATCTCCCAGAGTGCACATCTAAGTTATTAGTGACTGTGAAGAGCTATTGAGAGAGTATTCGGGTATAACTCACATCATCGTCAACAACCTTGTAGGCAGCTGATACCGGTCGATCCCACCCGGAGACAATGACCTCGTTGAGCATATAGCAAGTAATGAACATGTTCTCAGACAAAACTTCACTAGACTCAGTCATGGACCCATTGTCGCGGCATATCGATACATGCTTCCGAATCTCTGTCATGGCAGCTGTACAGAAAGGTAACACAGAAGAGACAATCGTTGTAATATCCTCGGAAGAAGGAGAATGCAAAGCATAGAGTATCATGAACAGCGAAGCTTGGATCTGCAAGACCATAGATGGATGCCCCACAACATATGGATAATATCTCATGGCCGAGGCATAATACTCCTTTGACCGGACGGAGTGCGAGGCGTCTCGCTGTAAAATACTGCAAAGGGATGAACCGATAGCATATACCATCTGCAGAAAAAAGGCTTTCCATTCATCCTGGCCATCCAGGATTGCTTCAGCATGCCATGATTTCCAAGCTGCTTCGTTCAAGAAGGGCCATTCGCGGTGAGTCACGGAGAAATACACATTTGTGTAGAGCTCTTTCAGCCAAGGAGAGTCATCTTCAGTCAAAGGATATGAAGGTGCCAAGTCAATCCATGGAACGTCGAAAGTTGTCTCCGGGAATAAAGAGAATGCGCCAGGCGAGAAGGATGGTGGGGATGTTCGAGGTGATCTCTGGCTGCTGTGTTGCAAACCTGATAGAAGTATGAGAGAACCGTCATTTTCTGCGCCGCTACTATTCTGATCAACCATCAGATAGTCCGAGTCATTGCGTAGACCATTACGCTCATGTTCTGGATCTTCACAATCCGTCTGGGTTCCAACATCACATGTCTCCACGGTTGTTTCTGTGGCACTGGACTTACGATCCAGCTCCGCAACCCGTTTCTCGAGCTGTTTCAAGTATTCCAAAGGGATTGTGATGTTATCTCCCGCTTTCCGAGACCGAGCAGGCAAGCATTCAGCACCCTTGCGACGACATTCGCCACATGAAGGTTTGGCATGATCACATTTCCGCTTGTGTCGGAAACAGCGAGCGCATGCTATTTCTCTATGCTTCAGAGGGCGCGACATGCAGCAATTGGGCACATGTAGGAAGTGAGACGAAATGCGGGGGAGACGACTCGCGATAACGGATTTGATCCGCGCCAATACGATATCAGTTCCGTATTAGGTTGCTATAATAGGAAGGTCTAGGCGATGTTGATAAGTAATGCTATACTAATTATATACTGCCTGTTAACTACTATATGACATTGTATGATCTGAGCATTGCCAAGTTGTCAAGTCAGGTCAGATACAGTCCACAGTCATAACATCCATGGTCGTTCCCTCGAGCCCATAAAGCATGCATTCTCACCAGGCCAAGCAGTCGGCAGCGACAATCAGCTTTTGATCCATTTTTGACCTTTTGTATCATATCCAATCAACTTAGGATCAACATGCAGACTCTTGAGCATGAACTCCATTGTGAACTCCTAAGGTAACAATGTTAGCACACAGATTCCACTTGCGAACCCCAAACTACAGTAATATCACAACACGTACCTCATCCTGACTCTCCTCAATATCATTCTTGTTCAGTGGATGACCAGAAGAATCCACATCACCGTAGTTATCAACACCTTCCTCTTCCTCGTCAACGTGCTCCCGCTCACGACTCTCCTCATCAAAATCCCATCGAGTTGCATCGCGCTTCGACTGCTCTTTCCAAGCTGCCATCCCTCCCATGCGATTGACCCTTTCCTTGGCACCAGCAAATACCTCATCTGCTGCGTCCTGGCTGGCGAGCCGCCATTTGGTGACGAGAGTTGGAATCTCGATGTATTTGGGATTGGTCTCGAGGTTGAGGGCCTGAGTTGCTATTTCGAGTTCCTCGATCAGTGCATCGACCTTTGACTTGATCTCTCGGTGCTGCTTTTGCAGTTCTAGAATCTCTGGGTCGGAGGTTTGGAACGATTGTGGGGGAATTGGGGAAATAGTTGTAGCACGCGTTTGCGCTTAGGAGGTACTGGAGTTGTTGTCGAATCCGGTGAATTCGATATTGAGTTCGCCTCTACAGGTATGGTAGGAGTCGCTGTAACTTCGGTGTCCTCAGTAGTCCTGGATGCGACAGGCTTAGATGGCGTGTCGTCTGTGTTTGTCGGTGCAGTTCTGCGTAGCGGGGACTTGAACGGTTTTGAGAGAGCAGTAGCTGCATCGGTGCGACGACGTTTACTAGATGGCTTGTCCATCATCAATTGTATGTAGATGTCGGAAAGTCGATGGTTTTAGAGAGAAAGGAAGACAAAAAGTTGGAGAAGCCAAGTGAAATGCGGAGATGGAATCTTATCGATAAGCAATTGGGATTTATCTACAAAAAAAAAAGGTCACGCTGAAATGCACACACTACAATCTCAATGACCAACTCCTCCTGCCACCCATTGCCCAAATTCAGGATCACCAGGCTGAGGGAATAATCCACGATCATTGGCGTTCCCATTTCCATTCTGGGCATTGACATTAGCATTAGCATTGGCATGGGCGTTCTCATTCTGTCGGTTACGCTGCTGCTGTTGACGGAAATAAACCAAAACCAACAGCACAGCAGCCAATCCGACGATCAGCAGGCCCTCAAGCATTCCCTCGTCGATATCGAGGTCCAGATCGTCATAGTAGCCATCGTCGTGGCCTTCAGATTCCAAGGCACGATATTCATCATCCTCTCCCCGTTGTTGTTCGTAAAGGTCTTCGTAATAGCCCTCCTCGTCGTTCTCGATGAAAGCCTTGACCCATTCTTTTAAGGTGCGGCGGGGTTTCGAGTCTATGAATAAACGTAAGTAAGAAACTAGGAAGTATTTCACGGGGTTGGTGGGAAAGAGCAGCTTACCTTCCTCCTCATGGATGGGATTAATGTTCCCGTTGGTGATACGATTCCAGTATCCTCGAGCTCGAAGTTTGATCAAGCTTAGCTTCACTGGCAGATACGCTTCGGGGCTGAGGTCGAGAGCCAAGTCATAATACCGCTTGGCCATGTGGAAATCTTGGTCTACTGCCACGCCATTCTCATGCATCCAGCCCAGATTCCAATAGCCCTGTGCACTGTGGTGGGCTTCAGCGGCATTATGGTAACATGTAGAGGCCTTTTCAGCGTCGACGGGTGTACCCGTTCCAGACAGGTAGTAGTCGCCCATCTTGACCAAGGAGTCGATGTTGGCTTGCTTGGAAGAGCGGGTCCAGTAAATCAACGCCAGTCGAGCATTGCGCATCAAAGAAGACCGAGCCTTCTCAGCCCATGGAAGAATGGAACTGAGCGAGAGCACAGAGCGATGTTCGTCAAGAAGATAAGCCACATTTGCCTGTGCATTCTCATAGCCCTGCTCTGCTGCCATCATCGATGGAATGAGAGCACCCTCCTTATCACCAGACTCGTAAGCAGCGTTTGCCTCCACGAAAGCTGAGTGAACGATCTCTGCTTTTTCGGCAACCATTTTGTAGTAGGCGGCGGCCACGCCGCAGTGCCGCTGTCTGCCAACACCGAAGTGGGCCATTTCAGCTAGGTAATAGTATGCCTCCATCCATCCCCAGCGGGCAGCAAGCTCGAAGTAACGTGTTGCGGTTGCGATATCTCCTTGGTCCAAGAATAGAGCGCCCAATCGTGATTCTGACGCCGGGGAGTCCTGCTCTGCCGCTGCTTTGAAGTAGTGAGATGCCTTGAAGCCATCCTGAGGAACTCCATAGCCCTTGAGATACATAAGACCCATCCAATGTTGGCACAGAGAGTCCCCGTTCGCAATACCCCGCCGGAACCATGTGAGGGCAGTCAGGAAGTGTTGTTCAACCCCCTCTCCGCGAAGGTACATAAGACCAATATGTCCTGCGGCCTTGGACGCCAGCTTATCAAGCCCTGCAGGGGGTTTGAGTTGACTGATCCATCCTTATTCCAATATTTCTTAGTAACAACCTTGAAATACCTCATAGCCCGTCGGAAATTCCGCGGCAAGCCCCGGGCACCCTCGAAATTCATTTTACCGAGGGTGTACGTAGCCTTCAGCTCACCCTTCCGGGACATGAGGTCCAAGTACTCCAGGATATCTTCCACGCTGGCCTCAGGAGTGGCATTGGCAGGGTCTCGCGCATTTTGGCCCGAGCTCGACACACTGGCTCCTGGACCGTAGACACCACCTTCCTCATCTGCCCAACGATAAGATTCTCGAACCAAAGCCCTACCACCCGGAGGGCCTGAACGGTAGTACTCGATCGCCTTGTCTGCAACCTTCTTGTAGTAATGGATCGCGTGATCACAATCCTTCGGTGTCCCAATGCCAGTGTGGTAGCGATACGCAAGTGTCATCTCCGAACGGATGTTCCCTGCTTCTGCTGCAAACTCATGGTACATCAGGGCCTTTGCCTGGTCTGGTTCGACCGCACCGCCGATTCCCGTCGCATACATGAACCCGACCATGTTCTGCGCTGTGTTGTTTCCGTCCAGCCATGCAAGTTCATGGTACCAGCGAAAGGCCTCTTTGAAATCGCGGGGATGGGAGAAGTTGCCATAGAAGTTCATCTCTGCTAGCAGGAACATCGCATTCGGGTCCCGGTCTTCGTCTGCGGCTGTTCTTAACTCCTCCACTGCTCCCGTGAGATGTTTGTTCAGTTTTTGCTCGGGTTTTTCTGTCGAAGGGCCATTCAAGAATAGCAATCGGACTGTTTGGCGCCCATAGTACACGGCAGTTCCTAGTAATCCTCTTGACTTGTCGGATTGAAGGACTGGGTTCTTAATTGTGCGAAGGGTATTCCAGGCATGTTCAACTCGATCTATTATTAGACAATGAGGTTGATCAGTATCAAGCGTCGGTCGATGAAGCGCGAGGCACGGAAGCTGTCTCTACTCACGATTCATGGGTCGGGGTTCTGCTTCCCCTGTCTGGAACGTAAATTCGTGGTCCGGATCGTGGCCGATTGCCCCAGATGCTGTTTGATCGGTGAGCGGCTTCCCAGGCCCAGCTGCGCATGTCTGCAATAACACTAGATAGGGGGGTCAGCTTCCATTGCGGTCCTGCAGGTGCGGGCAAATCTTACGCAGGGCCGAGAGAAAATGTGAGACCGGCGTCCTCATAATGCCTGCAAAATACTGGTGTTATGTCGGAGTGTGAAGCACATTGCGACTCTCAGAGCAATGTGAATCACAAAAGCGACAGAGCTGGGGATCGCGATATGATGCAGTTCCAGAGTACGGGCCACTTGGCTTGACGGAGCTTCATTTTGCCGAGGGTAGTTACATCGTACAACTATGTATGCTTTCTACGCATTTCTTCTACAATATGTATACGAAGCTCCTTCTTGTCTATCTCATTTAACATGCTCTTCACCCCATATCTAATAAATACTAGGTCGCAAGCTTCCAATATCTCAACTTCTGTATAGACCATCTATCATAGAAGCGGTGAGAATTTATAAGCTGCCAACTCCCACAATCTAGAGACATCCTTGTTCTCTACTACGAGTTTATATGAAAAGAAAATTGGAAATGTCATAAACTTTGTTGAAATCTACTCGTCCCCTCTGGAGGGTGTGTACAAAACAGAAAGCAGCGGTCAAAATACATCCCTGGTGCGCTTTCCATGCAATAAAAAGGATTTGGGCAATTCCCCAATGGTAACCAAAGCCCACACTCCTATCTCACAGCATCCATGGACAGTGTCCTCGATACTGATGGAAGTATGTGCGGTCCTGGCATTCACGATGGGGGAATAGTGCGCTGGGAAAAGCAAAGCAATCTCGAAACGATGGCGGCTGAAACCAAATCGGCACGTGTTGTTGGGTTAATTGGGTTAAAAAAAAAGACTAAACAGATACAATGAATGGGAGACGATCCCCGATATCGTGAAAAAAAAATTATCAATCATTTCCGAGATGTGTAGCGCGAAAAGATCTTTTTTGTTTAGTGGTTGAGGTTCAAAGTTGATGATGGTACAGATGTAGAAAACGAGCCTGAGAAAGGCAAGCCATCTTCGTACCATGTTCACTGGCGCGGCGACGTAGGGCTGTACGCCGGGGATGTCGGGCTGTACGCCGGAGAGGTAGGCGACGTCGGGGAACCAGAGAAGTTTGGAGAAGTCGGCGAGTATGACTGCGGGCTTGTAGGAGACCAACCAGGTGAAGTTGGTGTGTACTTGGGAGAGGTGGGAGATGTTGGGGACAGGTGCCGAGCACCACCAATCGCGGGACTGGTGGGACTGTAGCTCGGCGAAGTCGGACTGAACGCCGGCGAGGCCGGACTAAAGCTGGGGGAAGTCGGACTGTAGTTAGGCGACGTCGGCGAGAACCCAGGCGAAGTTGGAGAGTAGGAAGGAGATGTGGGGGACGCTTGGCCGTACGCAGGCGAGGTCGGTGAGTAGGCCGGAGACGTGGGTTGGAACGATGGGCTGGAAGGCGAGAAACCAGGAGAGGTCATCATTCGTGGGCTTGTCATGCCGATGCCAGGGGAGGTCGGTGAATAGCTTGAAGACGGAGAGTATCCAGGAGACGTTGGGCTAGTATTGAAGGGACTTGTCGGAGAGTAACCACCGGGGCTGCGAGCCGCGGGGCTGAGCCCACCACCAAACGTAGCGCTAGCCTGGTATTCAGTAAGACCTCCAGTAGGCTCCTGGCCAATTTGGTGCATAGGCGAGAACGTCGAATAGGGGTCGCTACCGGCCATGGACGGGGAGCTGGCCATGGGAGAACCAGTGTCATACTGAGTGGCAGCACCGTCGGAAATGATAGCATCTTTGGCGCCGACCGCACCCATAAGGCCGTAGCGTGCATTGTTGGACACGACGGTGTTGAGCAAGCTCTGGTCCAGGTAGACGTCGAACTCACCCGTTCCGGCGGGCGCCATCTGTCCAAGGATCAAGTTCTCCGACACACCGCGGCAATCGTCGAGCTCTCCGAACGCAGCAGCCTCGAGCAGAATTTCAACTGTCTCTTCGAACGAACAACGCATGAGGGCACCATTGTCGGCACGGTTGATACCATGACGAGTAACAGGAGTCAGATAACCACGCACAGTCATCACGTCAACCAGCAGAGCCAAGTGACGGTGATTAACGTAAGAACCGTCAAAGGCAAGCACAAGGGTCAATTCGCGAAGCACAGCTGTACGGGCAGCCTCAATACCGAAAACCTCGAAAATCTCGATGAACTGGTTAGAGTAGGTGCGCGAAGCGTCGACGCCCGGAATCGTTAACACAGCAGCCAAGGAAGATCCACTGGTTTCCAGAACCCATTCCTTGCAAAGAGGATCGGATTTGCTGGTGTGAAGCGTACCGTCCTCGATCACACGGACCTTGCTCTTCTCGTTAATAAACGCACGGTCCACGCCAGGAACACCACGAAGGGTCAAAGTGTCCAGCAGGTGCTGCTCAAGCTTCTTTAAGGTGACGTCGTACTCGACGTCTTCGTCATCGTCCTCCTTGTAGTCTTGGACCTGGCGGATACGAATAACTTGCTCGTCAGCGTTGTTATCACTGAAGATAACTGCAATATCACGAGGGTATGCCTGCTTGATCCTTGTAGCGACATCCTGTACCGTGAGACCCTTGTCAAGAAGAGAGCGGCGACTGAGGACGATACGGAGCAACCACTTCGACTGCTGAGATGCGTCGTCTGCGTTATCTTCAGGAATGATGAAGTATGACTCGACCATATCTCTATCATTTTCGATGACAGTGGACTGAATATCGGGATCATAGTAAATCTCCGTCGACTCCGTCACAGAGCGCAGACTAGTGTGCTCCACAAGACTTCGAAGGAGTTTGGCACCCTCCTTATCGTGGGTCTTCATGCCTTCCTGGTACACAGTCATGGATGGCGTCTTGATGTTCGTGGCAACGTTGAGGATTTCCTTGAGACGTGGAACACCAAGCGTGACGTTCTTGGACGACACACCAGCAAAGTGGAAAGTGTTCAGTGTCATTTGCGTTGCGGGCTCACCAATAGATTGAGCCGCAAGAACGCCAACCATTTCACCAGGGTTGGCTGCCGCACGGGCGAAACGACTTTCAATAGCACCCAATACGTGCTGGAATGCAAGCTTGTTGAGCGAATAGTCGGTGACAAGGCGGCGGAAAGCGAGACGACTGCGCAGTTGCGCCTTGAAGAGCAAAGTCGCATTAACCTGAGCCTCTTGCGAAATGGGATCGTTACCACGAACGATCACCAAGCGATCCAAGAGCTGCTGGACTTGAGGAATGACCTCAGCAGGGTGCAAATCACTGATTGTGCCCTCGCGAATACGGAAAGTGGTCCGAGCCATTTCCAGGATACGCTGGACGTTAATGGGAAGCTGCATCATCTCTTCGTCCTCCTTGACCACGGTGCGCAGGAAGTCACGGTCTTTCAGAATGGCCTCCCATTCTTCATCAAAGTATCTCTGCACCTCGATGTCGCCGGCAATTTCGTTGGCTTGTTCCAAAATCTCTGGGCCGAGGGTTCGCTCGGGGTCCATAACATCAACGCGGAATCGGTCCATGAGCTTCGCATCGGAACACTTGATGTGATCGACACGCTGGTTCTCAATGTGGGCACCATCGAGACCATCCTCTCCGTAGATGAACTGAATGATATCTCCAAGGGAGTTGCGTACAGTGCCATCATATTTGACCATAACTTCCTCGAGAGCCTTGACCAGCTTACGCTGGATGTAACCAGTTTCGGCAGTCTTGACAGCAGTATCAATCAGACCTTCACGACCAGCCATGGCGTGGAAGAAGAACTCGGTGGGAGTCAAGCCACGGAGGTATGAGTTCTCGACGAATCCACGAGACTCGGGAGAGTAATCGTCCTTGGTGAAGTGAGGAAGGGTACGATACTTGAAGCCGAACGGAATACGCTTGCCTTCCACGGACTGTTGTCCAACAAGGGCAGTCATCTGCGAAATATTGATTGCCGAACCCTTAGAACCAGACCGCGCCATTTGAATGGCGTTGTTCAGATCCTTGAGACTCTTTTCGGTAGCATCACCAGCTTCGTCACGGGCATTGTTCAATGCACGAGAGACCTTGCTTTCGAATGTCTCACGCACGTTCATACCAGGCAGGGCCTCCAGTGTGTTCTCGGTTGCACTAGCCGTGATTTCCTCGACTTCCTGTTTTCTGTTGCGAACGGCCTCCTCGATCTTGTTAATAGTAAGTTGATCGGGAATGGTGTCACCGATACCAATACTGAAACCGTTGTGCAGTAACCAGTACCCGACGATGGTTTGAGCTCCACTGAAGAATTTGACACAAGTGTCAGGGCCGTACTCGTTGAAAATGGTGTGAATGACACCACCGCCACTGGCACCGACCGTCTTCTTGGAAAGCATACCATACATGAGCTGTCCACCGTGAATCAAGAGACCTCCATCACTGAGAGGACTAAACTTCTCAGCCAAAGGCGAGCCGTCTTTGTCAACACGCAGAAGGTTCAGACCAGAGGGGAAAGCCATGCTGATCATCTGCTTTCCAGTCCAACGGGGGCGAGGCTTAATAATTGCGGGAGGTGGAATGGCACCATCCCAATCAGGGACCCACAGCATGAGGTTCATAACTTGGTCCTTGGTAAGGAAGGTGTCACGACGGCAGATCTTATAGATACCACAGAGAGTATCCTGCACAATACCCATCAGAGGACCGTTACGCTGCGGGGAAACGATGTTCTTCGGGACCAAGGTGAGCTCAGCAAGCTCAGCGCGCGCCTCTTCGCCCTGGGGGACGTGCAAGTTCATCTCGTCACCATCGAAATCAGCGTTGTAGGGACTGGTGACAGACAAGTTCATGCGGAATGTAGAGAAGGGCATAACGCGGACGCGGTGACCCATCATAGATTCCTTGTGCAAAGATGGCTGACGGTTGAACAGGATATAATCGCCGTTGTCAAGATGACGCTCGACCTTCCAACCATACAGCAGTTGCTGAGCACCCGCGCGCTTAGCGTGGCGAAGATCAATACGTTCACCGTTGTCACGGACAATGTATCGCGCACCAGGGTGAATGTTAGGTCCGTTCGCAACCAACTTCTGGAGCTTCTCAATATTGTATGGTGTGACAACTTCCGGGTAGGTGAGAATACGAGCAGTTGAGTATGGGACACCGACTTCGTCCAGCCTCAGATTGGGGTCACCTGTGATAACGGTACGAGCAGAGAAGTCCACACGCTTTCCCATCAAGTTCTGACGGAGACGACCCTCTTTACCCTTCAAACGACTGCGAAGAGCCTTCACGGGGCGGTTTCCCTTTTGCATCGCCGTGGGTTGACCAGCAATGTCATTGTCCATGTAAGTGGCAATATGGTACTGAAGGAGAGATTCGAATTCACGAATAACGTGTTCGGGTGCACCTTCCTGCTCACAGCGTTGAACGTTTTGGTTCGCACGGACAATTTCCGCGAGCTTGTAAGTCAAGTCATCCTCACCGCGAGCGCCACTTGTGGCTCCCATCACGACGCTAGGGCGAACGGTCGGAGGAGGAACGGGCAAGACAGTCAAAATCATCCATTCAGGACGAGCATAATCATTGCTGAGTCCCATGATGCGGACATCTTCGATGGAGATGTTGCGGAAGATGTTCAAGGCCATTGTGGGAGTAATGACTTTCTTCTCTGGCTGAGCCATCTCATCCTCCATCATAGCCTTGCTAGGCTTCCATGTTCCAACCAAGCAGATTCCTTCCTTCCGAACGGTGGGCTGGGCGTTACCGCAGCCGCCATGGGAGCGGCCCTTCTGGGAGTCCTTCGAAAACTCCTCATCATCAGCAGGCGCGTCGGCTTCACATACCAGGACATCCTTGGACAGTCGCCAGATGGAATCAAAACGACGTTTTGGGTCCCGGAAACGAAGAGCGTCTGTAAACTTTGAATCGGCCTGGTATCCATGTTAGCAAAAACCATTTAGGATTTGCCACCCCAGTAGGGATGACTAACCGTGTTGGCCTTGATCTTTCCACAGTTATGGCAAACTGTCTCTAAAAGCTTCTTGATTTTAGTCAAAAAACCTAGAGTTGGGCCAGGAGTCAGCATGAACAGAAAAGACGAAAGGAGGAAACAGAGGCGAATCTATTACGCACCAATATGGAAGACGGGAGACGCGAGCTCAATGTGACCAAAGTGTCCGGGGCATTCCTTTGGACCCTCTTCGCAAGTCTCGCAGTTGTATTGGCGATCAATTGTACCAAGGCGAGGGTCGTTGATACCCTTAGTCCGGGGCCGTTGGCGTTGGTCATCCTGTTGGTCACTTAGCAATCAAGTCATCGGGGGGCATAGGACGAGGAAACCTCATCCAAAAAAAAGCGTCCGCTAGGGGGAAAAAAACCAAGAGTTACTCACCAGTGTTTCGGGGTATTCAATGTGAACCACACTCATGCGCTTGATCTCTTCGGGGGCGAAGAGACCGAACTGAATTTCCTTGATAGTGCGCAAAGGCGCCTTGGAATAAGGGAAAAACACGTTAGACATGATGGCGGAGTTATTTTGACGAAAAATGAGGATGAAAAAAGGCGGAGATGACGGGTCACGTAGGCGTGTCGTAAAACCGAAATAAACGACGAAGCTCAGCTCCTAAATGTCGCGAAAAAGGAAGTTACGGACTCGCTCGTGAGCTAAAAGTCAGATTTACACGTAGCGACGATGAAAGAAGGTGGTGTGGAAGCAGCTGGCCGGTTGAGGCCTTGGGCAGCCCTTGCCACGAGGGCGCCGGCGACCTAGAGGTCCCGAACGTCACGGAGCAAAAAAAGAAGGAGAAAAAGAGCGCGGCAAAGAAGATCGTCTTCGCGGTGTATTGAAGAAGTATCGCGATGAGACGGCGCGATCCTCCTGGGTTGTTGGAGGCGGTGGGTGGATGTCGTGTCGGGGAGATGAAAGGGTGATGTTCTGAGGTTGCCTCACTGTGATGGGGCTTGAGTTTTCCCTGCGCGATGGTTGCCGTCTAAACGTTGCCTTACCGCTTTGGCAGAAGTGTGGGTACCTTCCCCAAATTGCAGGCAACGGCAGAATCAATGCACTCAATATGCACCTTCCACAATAGTAAATGAGAGCGGTGAATAGTACAGGCATCAATCTTAGGCATCGACTTGGGTTTATTTTAGATGGGCTTTTGTCACCGCCCTAGCATCTTCCGGATTCTATGGATATCGACATCGGCAGAAGGAATGAAGATTATTGTCACTACAGAGAAACCTACTTCAGGTGTTTCACTCAATCTGGATTTCACACTGGATGCTTGAACACCACTTACTATCCTGGCCTATCTCACTGGCTGAGGATTATTCACTTTGAATTCAAATATCCGCCTCCATATAAACACATCCTATCGCAATGAATCTCTCACTCATTGATCCATTTGTCCTGGCGCAAGAATACCCAGATACCTTAACTGAGAAACTGAGTACGTTCCACCCGCACTTCCTCGCAATGAAGACTACTGACTGGTCAACCCAACACAGTCAGCGGCCATTCGACATGTTTAAGCTTCAACCACAAGGGCGATTATCTTGCCTCTGGACGAGTTCGTGAACCCCACCACCAAAAAAAAAAAAAAAAGACATATCACACAACGGCCAGAAGACTAATACATGCTCTAGGCGGATGGCACAGTGGTGATCTTTGACATTGAGACCAATGGTGTCGCGCGCAAATTGAAAGGCCACACGCGACAAATCCAGTCTCTCAGGTACAATTTCCCCAGACTAACACCCCGATCTACATTGAACCCCAAAATACTAACTACATATCCAGCTGGTCTCGCGATGGTCGCTACCTTCTTACCTCCTCCCAAGACTGGAAATGTATCCTCTGGGATCTCAAAGACGGCTCCCGAGTCCGCACAGTCCGATTCGAGGCACCAGTCTACATCGCCGAGCTACACCCATTCAACCAGTACACCTACCACAATTCGGCCACTATCCATCAAGTCATATCAACTAACCAATTATATTCTCCAGTCTTCTATTCGTCGCCTCCCTCTTTGAAGACCAACCAGTACTGGTAGACGTCTCCGACACAAAACCAATCAAACGAATCCTCCCCTCCGCCCCCTCAGACCGCAAGCCCCAAGCGGCGAAGAAGTTGACCCGGCCGTAGCCGCGAAACAAGCAGCGCAAGACGCTAAACACTCGACATGCGTAACCATCTTCACAGCATTCGGCAACCACATAATCGCCGGCACCTCGAAAGGCTGGATCAACATAATCGAAACCCAAACCTGCACAACAATCCACTCAATGCGCCTCTGCAACGGTGTCGTCATCCTCCTCCGACTAGCCAGCAACGGACGCGACCTCCTGGTCAACAGCTCGGACCGAGTAATCCGCACAGTGATAATGCCCGACCTCTCACAGCTGGGTATCGATCTGGAACCATCCGCGATCAAACTGCACGTTGAGCACAAGTTCCAAGACGTGGTCAACCGACTCAGCTGGAACCACGTCACATTCTCATCTACGGGCGAGTTCGTCACCGCGACAACATTCATGAACCCTGATATATACGTGTGGGAACGCAGTCACGGGTCACTCGTCAAGATCTTGGAAGGACCACGGGAGGAACTCGGCGTTGTGGAATGGCACCCCGGCAGACCGATGGTTGTGGCATGCGGACTGGAGACCGGGTGCATCTACACATGGTCAATCGTTTCGCCGCAGAAATGGTCCGCGCTGGCGCCCGATTTCGGCGAAGTCGAGGAGAACGTTGAGTACATGGAAGCAGAGGATGAGTTCGATGTTCACCCAGCTGAGCAGGTGCATCAGCGCCGGCTAGATCAAGAGGATGAGGTGCCGGATGCTATAACGCTTGATGTGGTGAAGGGGGAGGGAGATGCTGATGGCGTTGAGTCGTTTATACTTCCTGTCTTGATGGACATTGAGGACAGTGATTCTGGTGAGGAAGTTGTTGCTGTTGGGCCCGGAACTATGCGACGCAGGACGTCTGGAGCTGGCAATGCCAATGCCAATGGCAATGGCAATGGGGATGCGGATAAGCCTGCGGCTAATTCGACTTCGAAGGGTACTACCAGGAGTCGCCGCCGATAGTTGGCAGGCCTTTCTTTTTGTGAGTGTGTTACCTTTTTGTACCTCCTACATCTTCGTTGTTGTTGGAACTGTACTGGCGTATTTTGCATAGCGGCGTTCATCTTTAGCGCGGATATGGTTGGTCTACAATCCGGCGTTGGGGGAAAAGCTTCTAGCCTTCATTTGATTTAATGCTATAGTCAATAAATATATGATTATTTAAATTGTCCAGGTTCTACTATATTCAATAGAGGTACGGAGTACATATTTATATATTTGTAAGACTCAGGGTCTTCTTTATAGGGAAAAGTCGACAGCAATGATTGCAAAGACTAATAGATCCTGCCATCATAATGCGAATGACCATAATATGAAGGAAACCAACAGTTGTTATAGTAGAACTAGACTTGATGGTGCAGTCTTCCAGACGGTGGTCGTATCAGCACAGACATCGAGGACTATTAGACCATTACTACCCGAAATGGAGAAAGATATATGAGATAGGCATACAAAGAGAAAAGTCGATTCCAAAGAGACATATTGACTCGTCATTCAGGTAGCAAATGGAAGTGTCAGAAACTATAGGAAAGTAATCTGGGTATATATCACAAGCCTGAAGGATTTGAAACCCCCAACTAAAAGCCCAAAACGCCACGAGATGCAAGGTCCAGCATGCAGAGAAAAGAAACAAAAAGAGAAAGGATTGAATGGAGTTGAGTGAAAGAAAGAAAACGAAAAGTCATGACCCCAAGTAGACCGTGGGCGCATAGAAAAAAGCGCATTGAAAGAACATACACATCGTGTCAGCCGTCAATCCCCCCAAACCTCCTTAGGGAGTCAATTAAACAATGTTCATACCCATTCCGGCTGTTGGGACCTGTGAGTCCTTCGCTTCCAGGGATAGTATCTCGGTTCTCATACAGACCTGGACTAGAAACAAAACAAAAATCATAACGCTGTGGTGTGCTGTGAAGCCGTTGGCTCTGGGGCGAACATCTAGTTGTACTTGCAGCCCTTGCAGCAGAAACACATTCGACATAATGTGGCAAGTGCACTCTGGGCCAGCCAAAGTCTCTGAGCGGCGACCCGGTCTATTTTGAATTCGATGATCAAGCGGGTGTGGTCTTTTAAGGCAATAGCGTTGACATGGTCGGAATCATCTCCTTCAAATTGAAGGAGTTGCCCTTGGGTCGACTGCCATGTGGGTAGGATTCACCAGGTTATTCCTCAAGAGGTTTTCGCGCTTGATAAATGTGCAGAAGGTTGTACGTTTTGATCTTTTTGTCGAAAGCTTCCTGTTTGACATCGAATGCAATGCGGTCAATCTGCTCCCTGGACCAAGAAAGAACCCGACTGAAAGGAGCCAGGCACAATGGCTGAACACTCTCAGAGATAGCCAAATTGTACCAGCGCGCAACCTTCTGCTCGTGGGAATCAGGATGCCATGGATTCATAGGCAATCCCACAATCTGGTGGTCGATCTCGGTGAAGCCCGCTTCTTGCAAATTCCGGATCGTTTCGTTGGAGCTGTGGGCCAGGGGCCGCATGGTGGCTTCAGTTGCATGCTTCAAGGTCGAGTACCAGCTAGCCATAGCGCGTCCCGGTTCACCATCTTTGTCCTCAACGCGGGGCCGGAAATCGATTTCGACTTGCTCAAACCAGGCACCCGGCCGGAGATGCTGAAAGACCCGTCGATAGAGACTTGGCCAACTTGCAACACTACCACATCCCATCTGCATGTGGATGATATCCCATGAATCCTCTCCCAAGGTCCAGGGCGCCTCAAAGTCGAACGGGGCATAGAAATCACAGTTCTTTGGGAAATTGGCCGGTTGGATCGGCGCGAGGTCAACACCGACCACGAAGGAATTCGGAAATTTGTTCGCAACTTCGATGCTCCATATACCCGTTCCACAACCCAGGTCGAGAATTCTGGACCCCGGGGGATGTGGTGCATAGATCAAGCCATCCTCGGCCCGTGCAACGGTAAACAGTTTGTGGAATATGTCGAGACGGTCCTGTTCTTCCTCGTCGCACGGGAGCGGGTAGATTCCTTTCCGATAGCCGTGATACATTCGGCCGTTCTCTTTGTGATTCGGGTATTTCTCGGGTATCCTATTCGGGCGGGGGTCAGTCATTGAACCTATGTTGTATACAATTGAGTGTGGAGTGGCATACTTGCGATCAGAAATTATAATCGGAGATGATCGCGATAATTGGGATGTGTTTGACGTGTGGGATGCCTGTGTGGCCACCGATCCATTGCTAGCAAAACGAGCGTTCCTGCGAGGATCTTTATCGACCGGATCTCTGTCGATCAGCGTGTACAAGTCCATTGCGGAAGACGGTTGTCGTGATCGGACTCGATCACTCGCCACGGAGTGCGAGTAGTATCTAGAGTGGCCGGCATCGCTCGCTGGGGTCGACTCGGACTTGTATCGTTTGGGCGGTGGTGGGGAATTTATGGGAGGCAGGTGTCGCATCCTGGAATCCCCGTTCGTAAACATTTTCGGCAGCGATGTGCGATCAGGCGCGGGAAAGGACCCAGGAGACTCTCTGTAAGACATGCTGATATCGGCAATCAATCAATGATCGCGCAAGATATCTGAGGCAGTTGTGAATCGACCGATCATGCCAGTCATGAAAAAGGAAGTCGAAAAGAACAAGTTAGGTATGAGAGACACTAAAACACAGCAAAAGCACACGAGCAAGTGTGATGAGTTCGGGCCAAATGAGAGAGGTTCTGCGATAGGGCGGATCGTACGGTCGGGGTGGTGAAGCCCAGGGATTCGAGGTTCTTAGGCAACTGGGTCAGATTGGCTCAAATTGGCACGGTTTGATATCCAATGTCAGGTCCAACTTCTAATGAAAAGAGAAAAACTGAGGAGAAGGAGGGTTTTAAGGTTGTTAAGCTGCGGTTTCCTTCCCGTCGGGCCCACGGGTAGCGGGGTGCGGGTAAAGCAGCCAGCAAAACAAGAGAATGGGAGAACAAGGATGAGAGAAGGGGAAATGAGAAAAGAAGTTTGGTGCAGAATTCGGTGCAGAAGTACGGAGTCCCTCTGTACAAGAGTAAAGTACGATCCGCGCTACCGGTACTCGTTGTATCGGGTACGGAGTACTTGTACTTGGACATTGTAATATGAATATTTTGGATATTTTGGATATTTTGGATTATTTTGAATATATATTGATCTTCTTATCTGTCAATCTGTGAAATATTTGACAATTCAGTTCCTTTATATAACTATCAATTATACTATATATTCCGTACAGAGTCATCCTATAATCCGATATATTATGTCGTATCTATGTACAAGACTTTTTATGCACAGGCATCCCAGAGCAGTGGTTGAAGGAGCAGCTAAACCAATTAGGGCTCGGGGTCAAATCCTAGTAATTTAAGTCCTTTGCTTTTCTTCTTTGCTTTTTTTTTTTTTTTTTTTTTCATTTTGAATATAATAATTTGAACTTCTCATATTCTATCATCTCCTCTGTATAATACCATAGGAATAGGAATACCTTACACGAATCACTAACTCCATAAGAGCTAGATCGACGTGGACCAAAAAGGTTGACCCACGCCCTCAGCGGGATGCGGACCGTCTGGGCCTCTCATTTCCAGGGATTCCACTTGGTGAGGGCCCAACAGAGTGGTAAAGGCGTCAACCCAGGTAAACCTAGGTAGGGTACTCCGTAAGCGTGGCGCTATTCACTTTCTGCCTTGGTCTAGTAATAATGGTATACTCTGTATTATACCTACAACACAATATGTTTTGACTGTGCCACCTGGGACAACCTTGGAATGTGTATGTTGTATGTTGTATGTACTTCTGTCACACACTCTGCATTCTGCTCTAAAATAAAATAAAATAATAAAAGACCTTGCAATTTATCCGGTTGTAGTCTGATAAATACCTATTCCCCTCACCGCAACCCAGAGCCCTGGGTCCGGTGGCTGGGATACCACATCTTGACCAACACACTTTAGCTGTGTGGTAATCATTTACTTGGATTCTCTGTTTGTGATATGTAAGAATTACCCTAAGACCACCCCGCTGGGTCAGCTCATGACTCGTTAAACCTTTTGATTTTTAATTTCAATTCCTACCCTATACGGAGTACATATATACTACTTAAGTACCTAGTTATATCATGCATTATACGTGTCAACATTCCCCCTCAAGCCCCAATAATGGTCCTGTGTCTTTCCCCATTGGGGTATTTTGGACTTTCCCAGGACACCGGGTCCATCCCAGCCTGATTCACATTACTAATAAAACATATTATCCATGCCCTCCTCTTCGGATACAAAGAAATCTGGTCAAACCCCGAGTTCTCCTTGCATGTTACATACCCCGTACAATTAATAAGTATATTTTCACGCGATCCAGCGCGGCAAGCGCTGATTGCTGAACTTTCCACCTGAGACTGACTCGTCATTGAGGGATATTAATCCTCCAAAATCTGCTCAACACTCTTGGTACTGACAGCTCATGGGATTGGATTTAACAAGAGTGCCATCGTGCATTAGTGAGTTATTTGGGAGGGACTAAAATCTAGCGTACTCCGTACGGAGTACGGAGTACATTATCCAAACTTTTTCTTGCCCCTTATTCTCGACTAGAAGCAAATACATATATTTTCAATTTCGAGTTTTTTTTGTGATCAAGGGAATCTTTTGAATTTGGTTAATATATTTTTGTATACTATTTGAGTAGTCAAGTTAGTGATCGGGATGTACACGTTGAGGTACGGAGTACATCGTGCTCCGTACACAGAATATTGGGCCCCACGTCCCGCCAGGAAATTTTCCCTGGCCAAACTCCAACCTCACCGTCCAAATTGAGTAAAATCCTCCAATAAAACAGAGTACGGAGTACATAAAACTCAAATATCAAAAACACAACACACATCATCAGAGACATTAATCACCAATTTGGAATCATTAAATCGCTGCCCCTCACATCAGCCACAACGGGATCACCCCCAGAGATCAACATCTCGATATCAAATTCAAATTCAAACCCGAGAACGAGATCCAGCCACACAACAGGCAACGGGACTATCAGCTCCCCTAAATCACACAATGCACACACTCAAATCAGTGGCCTCATCGACTCTGTCGCTGCCGGCAGATAATTACATCTACTCGATCGTCCCCTCAGCCCCGGGGACTTTCGCCGCCATCTCATCAGATGATTCGCTGCGCGTCTTTAACGCCGCCGATCTTGATCGCGCATCTGTGATCTCGGACGCTACCCACAATGGCGGTGTTACCGCATTGCGCAGCTTCGCCATGGGCGAGTCACACCTCTTGGCTACCGGTGGCCGTGATGGGAAGGTGAAGGTTTGGGATGTTCGGGCTGGGAATGGAAGTCCGGTTGTGGAGATGGAAACGGGTGAGTTTGTTTTGGTTAAGCTTTTTTTATTATTATTTTCTTTTTGAGGGGAAGAGTTTTATGCATCTATTGCCTATTAGGGTTGTCTTCGGGAACCTGCTTGGACAAGTGCAGTTTTGTGTTTTGCTGCTGCATTTCCGGTCGCCTGTTACTGGTTTTCGGAGAATTTATCGACGCTTGGATTCAAGGATGGTCCTGGCTTGGTTGCGGGTTTCGTTGCGGGTTATCAAAATGCATATTTGCTAATTCTTTGTCTTATGTGTCTAGCGAAAAAATCACCTGTTCTGTCTGTGGCTTGTAACCCGGAGACAAACACTATTGTTGCGGGAACGGAACTTGTCTCATCGCAGGCGGTTGTTGCATTCTGGTAGGTTTCATCTTATACTTCGGGTTTGATTTGAATGCTGGACCCAGCATTATCATTCAATCGTTACATCGGGATCTGTCTTCCAACCCTAAGACAAAAACAGCTGTGCTCTATCACCAAACCCAAATCCCACTAACCAACAAATAGGGACATCCGCTCCCCCCAGGAATTCCGCCTCCAATATGTGGAGAGCCACAACGACGATATCACCGAGGTAAGTGTACCTCCATTCTAAGCCCGGTGCCCCCAACATCCCCCCAACCATCCAATTCAATACCCACATGCAATACCAGCCAGACTAACCATTGCATCGGCACCTTGCCTGTTACCGGTGGTACACAGCTCCAATATCACCCGACGCGCAGCAACATCTTACTCTCCGGCAGCACGGACGGACTAGTAAACATCTACGATACAACCGTAACAGATGAAGACGAAGCCCTGGTTCAAGTGATCAACCACGGCTCCGTACATCATGCTGGGTTCCTGTCAGAACGCACCATCTTCGCCCTCAGCCACGACGAGCACTTCTCCGTGTACCCGGCCACGGACCCGGACGATGCCTCGCAGGAGCCCGAGCCCGTGCATTTCGGTGATGTGCGCGACCCGCTGGGATGCGAGTATGTTGCGCAACTCTGTGTCGGTACACAGGGGCCGTATATCGCCGCTGGAAATAAGATGTATGTTTCTTGTCTCGCTTTGTGGTTTTCTTTTTTTTTTTTTTCTTGTGTTTGGTGCTCGGAAGAAGTCGTGGCACGCACACGTGCTGTTGTGCTTGTGTTTTTCTGGGTTCTTGGGCTGGGCTCGTGGGGTGTTTGCTAACTAGTATCTTGCAGTGACAACCGTCTCGATCTTGTCCCACTCGTTTCAAGCCCGTCGTGGAAGCTAGACCGGGATAATCTTTGGCGCTTGCCCCGTGCTCATTGCGAGGAGGTTGTGCGCTCGGTGTACTTGGATGAACAGGTACGTTTTTCAGGGGATGCTTCTTGTTATATGTTATATAGATCTGTTGGGCTGCTTTTGGCTTTTGTTGTCTACAACCCTCGCTAACCCAACTATCTCCATCAGAGTCAATCAGTCTTCACCTGTGGTGAGGATGGCTTCGTGCGGGCATGGAGACCTGCTGAGGGGAGTGATGCTCCAGTCCAGTCTGGGTCTGCAAAGGCTCGCCCGAAAGAGAAGAAGAAGGATAGGTTCAAGCCGTACTAGTCTGTATACTATGTGCGGGTGAATTCATTTGCATCTACTGCTGACGGTTGTCTGTTGTGTATCATTGGGTGTTTGGGTAAAAAAGGTAAAAATAGATAGTCCTGCACTTAGGTCATATGAGGTTATGTCGTTACTATTTGAATTACTGTAGTCTGTGAAATTAATTGGTTGGGTGGTTAGTGGGTTGGTAGTATCTACTTTGTAGGTTGAAATATATTTCTGGAATGTGAAATGATGAAATGACCTTCGTTGGGGCATATACATTTTGATTTTGAACCACATGTACTTTTTTTGGACCATTGCCAATTCAAACAGAGTTTTCTCTTTCCAAAACTAATAAACTATACATCTATTCCAATCAAAGCAAAAGAAATAAACAAAGCAGGAAGAAGTATATAGTCCGCCCGTCACGTGAATCCGAACAAGAAATCTTATCTGACCTTTTTTTCCTTATCCAAACTTTTTTTTGCACAAGGGACTCTCCCTCAAATCCCTTCTCCTCCAATTC